CCCATCCACCGGAGTGTGGGCGAGGTCTCTGGCTCAGAGACACAGGGCCAGAGGTTGAGCTGATGCGCAACGTATTAGGCCGCAAACGGCCACAGAAAATGGGGAGCAGCCGTATGGATCATGGAGTACGAGCAACCTCCATGATCAAGCCAATGCATCGTTCAGCAGTCCCACTCTGCTGAGAAGAGGCTAGAAGCGTGAACGTCTGGCGGATGCCCTTGTCTCGACAGAACTCCTCAAGGAGGCCAGAAAAGAACTCACCACCCCTGTCAGAGTGCAGATGCAGGACTGGCAAGTCCCGACAAAACCGCTCGCGCAGCTGGCAACGAGTAGCACGGATCTAGGGGATCAAAACACCGCTAACGTCCGCTTTGGGCCGGGCCCCTAACGTCCATGCGGAGAGTCTGCAGAGGAGCAGTGGTCGGAGTAAAATCGGAGGAGTGAGGAGCGGCGCGCTGCTGCCCCTTGACGCAGGGAAGGCACGGCGGTGCAGGCAAGCGTGGGAGGGAGGGCAGGGACCTGAGAAGGCCAGAGACAAGAAGACGGGAGTGCATACCGTGGAGACGCGGCAGCGAGGGGTGACCTAGGTGGTGGTGCCAGAGGAGAGTCTGGTGAGAGAGTACCTAACACAAGCAAGACGCTGCAAGCTGACCAGACGCAGACACCCAACTCGACGCAGCCACCTGACCTGACTCAGCCACTTGTGCAGACGCAGTGGTCAATGTGTACAGGCCGGATCCAGGCTTATGAGTGAACGTAGCAAGGTGACGGCCAGTCCGTAAGCACTTACAGATCGCCACGCGCTGTCCTCCAGGAATGAAGGTGTCAACCCATTCATCCTGGAGAACTGCGTTGCTCAACAAGTTCGTTGAGAGCGCGGGGAGGTGGAGACCCGACTGATATCTGGAGGGGACTGCCGGACACGGGAGGACAGTGGAGGCTCGCGCAACTACTGGGCCCCCAGTGGGATCAGCGAGTGAGGCTGGGACAGGTGCTGCGAGTGGTGTGACCATGGTGCAATCACGAAAAATGCAACGTGACGCGTCTGAGTCAAGTGTGAAAGTGTGCAAGGCCTCAGCTGAGGCAGGACCTGGCAGTAAACGCACGAGCACCAAAAAGTGCGGAGATAACTAATGCAATGGGAGATAGACTACAGGCTAGGCACGAATGCTCGTGTGTGATCTCTGCCTTCATTCCCTAGTCGTTTACTTGTGCTTGCACTGCTTGCTGGGGAAATTTTGGCAAAAGTTTCACCAGCAGAAGTTCACAACAATGATTCAGGAATGATAGCATCAACATTGGCAACACAGACTACATCAGACCTAGCACGGCTGCTGGTCGACTGCCAGCGCAGCACGGTCGACCGCGTGCCAGCACGACTTGGTCGACCGCACTCCACTAGAGTAGAGTCACGGCTTGCCAACGTAGCAAGTCCAGCAGTTGCCGTGCACGATGGTATACCCGTGCCGCACCCGCTACTCTGTAAAGTCCAGCGGACTCACCAACGCACCCGTGCACGATGGTATACTCGTGCGTGAAGAGTCCCTTGAGTAGCGGATTCATCCCCTCAATTTGTATGGCGGCAACGTGTCCAGGCCGGCTCAGTGCGTCTGCCTTATTCTTGTGTCCCGGCTTGCACACGATGTCGTAGTCGAAGTGCGTCTCGAGGAAGTCGATCCACCTGACCTGTCGCCTGGAGAGGGTCGGCTGCGTCTTTAGGTAATTCAGGCTGGAATGGTCAGTGTAGACCGTGGTCTTTCTCCCTTTGAGGTAGCATCGCCATGTCTTGATTGTGAAGATGATTGCTAAGGCCTCTTTGTCGTGAATCGCGTAGTTGAGTTCTGCCCCGTGTTTTTTTTTTTTGTTGAGGTAAACGATTGGTTGTAACCCTTTCCCTTGGTCTTGCATCAAGACTCCTCCAAATGCTTGGTCGTTAGCGTCAGCTTCAATGACATAGTCTTTTTCTTGACCTGGCAGCATCATGATGGGTGCGGTCTGTCAAACATTATATATGTTGTGTTAGTTTAGGCTACAATGGGTTAGCCTTTAGGGGGTACACAATTCTAGGGTTAGGTACTTGTACTCATTTCACTGCTAGTTCATTTCATTCCTGTTCAGTGATTCCAACATGGTATAGAGCAGGTCCTTCCTAGGACCAAAATTTTCTAAGGGCCCACCACTACATAACTACCTACCTACCTACCTACCTACCTACCTGTGCCCTAGGGCGTCTCGGCGTGTCACGCCCCTAGAGGCCCCTCTGGACGGCCCCGCGCTAGCCCCGTTCAGGCCCCGTCGGCCCCACGCCCGCTCTCCCTAGCGGCCCCGTTCAGGCTCCGTCGGCCTCTTTAAGGCCCCGTTCAAGCCCCGCGCTAGCTCCGTTCAGGCCCCGTCGGCCCCGTTTCAGGCCCCGTCGGCCCCGCGCTAGCCCCTCTCAGGCCCTCTCGGCCCGCGCTAGCCCCGTTTCAGTCCCCGTCGGCCCCGTTTCAGGCCTCGTCGGCCCCGCGCTAGCCCTTCTCAGGCCCCGTCGGCCCGCGCTAGCCCCGTTTCAGGCCCCGTTGGCGTTGTTTCAGGCCCCGTCGGCCCCGCGCTAGCCCCTCTCAGGCCCCGTCGGCCCGCGCTAGCCCCGTTTCAGGCCCCGTCGGCCGCGCGCTAGCCACTCTCAGGCCCCGTCGGCCCCGCGCTAGCTCCATACAGGCCCCGATCGGGCCCGCGCTAGCCCCGTTTCAAGCCCCGTCGGCCCCGTTTCAGGCCCCGTCGGCCCCGCACTAGTCCCGTTCAGGCCCCGTCGGCCCCTTGCTAGCCCCGTCAAGGCCCCGTTTGGCCCCGCGCTAGCTCCGTTCAGGCCCCGATCGGCCCCGCGCTCGCCCCTCTAGGGCCCCAACCGGCCCCCTGCCGACCTCGCCGACCCGTGCCCACCACCTAGAGGCCCCGGGCGGCCCGTTCCCGCCGCAGCACACGAGGGAGAGCGGGCGGCCCGTCCCCGCCGTGACCCGAGCCGCGCGACCCGAGCCGCGCGCCCCGAGCCGAGCCGCGCGCCCCGAACCGAGCCGCGCCACCCAGCCGAGCCGCGACCCGACCTGAACCAAGCCGCGCCGCCCTGCCCTACCTGGTTCGTCCTACCTGCTTCTCCTACTACTACTGCTGCTATTTCTACTGTTCCTATGGCTAGCCCATAGGTTCTCGTGTTCGATGCTGAGGGCCGCCCTATGAAGTTTGACACCTGGCTCGATGACCTGCACCTCTACCTACAGCTCACAGCCAAGGATGACATCTCACTGTACGATCACGCCCTAGGCCATGTCACTGCCCCTGCTGCTACTGGTGACAGCACTGCTCGCTCATAGTGGCAGACTCGTGATGCCCACGCTCGCTTCGCCATTCGCAACTCCCTGCCGATAGACAAACGCGAGCACTTTGGTCAGCACAAGACTGCAGAGGCACTGTACACAGCTGTAGTTGCTCGCTACTCCTCACCTGCCTCTGCCGCAATAGGCTGTCTCTCCCTCCCCTACCTGTTTCCTGACCTGGCCTCCTTTCACACAGTCGCTGACCTCATCACGCACCTCCGTACTAGTGAGGCCCGCTTCCGTGCCGCCATGCCTGCTAAGTTCCTTGCCACGCACCCCCCTCCACTCTGGCTCACTCTCTACCACCTAGTCACCCGCCTCCCTGTCGCTGAAGGAGCTACTTGCAGCTGAGACTAGCATAGTCGCTGTAGGTGCCTCTCGTGGCGACCCCCGTACCCCGTTCTTTGAGGGGTGTTCTCCTTCCCCCCTTCTTCCCTATGTCGCCTCTGCTGCTGCTTTCGACCTTCTTGGAACTGAGAAGGTCGGCGCTGCGTCTGCCTCGAGCGGACGCCGCAGCGGCAAGGGCAAAGGGGGCAAGGGTGGTGGCGGTGACGGCGGGGGAGGCGGCGGTGGGGGCGGTGGAGGCAGTGGGGGTGGTGGCAGCAGCGGCGGGGGAGGTGGCAGGAGTGGAGGCGGCGATTGGGGTGGCGGTGGACGAGGCGGCGGCAGGGGTTGGGGTGGTCGAGGAGGTGGCAGCGGTGGTGGTGGCCGTGGAGGCACTGGCGGTGGCCAGGGCCAGCAGCACACTCCCTCGCCCCAGGAGGTCCGTGAGTGGTACTCTCAGCACGGGGGTGGGGGTGGTCTTAGCTGCACGTACGTCATTCGCACTGGTGACCGCACAGGTCAGCAGTGTGGACGACCGCACGCCACACAGCGCTGCTTCTCTCGTCTCGACGACGCTTGGCGTGTTCAGTTCCCTCAGGCCATTGAGCTGCCCCGCTGGCTTGATCTCCTGAAGAAGGGGATTAATATCTATGCTCTAGACTTTGATGCTCTTCTATCTGCCATGTATGTGATGTCTACTAGTGGAGAGGGTGCTGAGTACTTGTGTGTGCCGCCCGACCCGGGCATTAGGGCCAGTGCGTCTGCCGCTCCAGGTACTCGCGTGCCGGCTACCCCACGTGCTGGTGAGGCTGCTGCTCTAGGTGCTCGTGTGTCTCCCCCCCTTGGTACTGCGTCGACTGCCGCACTGCACACCTTCACACTGGACTCAGGTGCTTCTCGCTGCTTCTTTCGTGACCGCACTGCCCTTGAGCCACTTGCTCGGCCAGTTGCTGTCTCCCTTGCTGACCCCTCTGGGGGTCCGCTCATTGCGACCTCTTCCACTGTCCTTCCCTGCCCTGCGGTTCCGTCGGGCACACTGTCACGTCTCCACCTCCCCTCGTTCTCTACGAACTTGGTGGCAGGATGTGCACTCCAGGACGGGGGTGTTCACCAGTTCACCCCTGCCTACGAGCGCGTGACACACTGCACGTGTGCTCGTACGGGCCGTCACTTGGCTACCTTCACTCGGCAGCCGGGGTCGGACCTGTACACACTGACTACTGAGTCCCCTCAGGTTGCTGCGACTGCGTCCGCGTCCGCGTCAGGTCAGCTGTCCGCCCCCTGCTTGTGTCGCTCTTTGATCCATGCGGTTGCCCCCCACTTTCTATGGCCGTTTGCGGTCCGGTACGCTGCGCATCAGCTCAACCTCTGGCCCCGTGTCTCCTTGCCGGAGACCTCGCCCACGCTGCTGTGGACGGGGGAGGTTGGCGATGCGTCGCGTTTCCGGGTCTGGGGGTCTCGAGCTTTTGTTCGCGATTCGTGTGCGGACAAGCTCTCCTCCCGTGCTGTTCCCTGCGTCTTCCTTGACTTTGTCCCTGACGCGTCTGGTTGGCAGTTCTACCACGCCACCTCGCGCCGAGTCTTGCCCTCCCAGGACGTCACTTTGACGAGTCCGTCCCCTACTACCGCCTCTTCCCCTACCGCACTGCCCCGCTCCCCCTCCCGCCTCTCTTCCTCGCGCCAGGTGCTGCTGTTGCAGACCCCCTCCCCCCTCAGGGTGCCGCTCCCTCAGGTGTGTCTCAGGTAGACCCGGTTGAGCCTGTTGAGGTAGCTGTCGACTCTCGTCCTGCTGGGGGTGCTGAGCCTGGGGGTGCTGAGCCTGAGGGTTTGGAGCCTGGGGGTGTGGAGCCTGGGGGTGTGGAGCCTGGGGGTGTGGAGCCTGGGGGTGTGGAGCTTGAGGGTGCTAAGCTTGGGGGTGTGGAGCCTCGTGGTGCTGAGCTGCGGAGTCCGGAGTCTGGGGGCTCTGAGTCTGGAGGTACTAGGCCTCGGAGTCCTGCACCTGGAGGAGCCCTCTCCTCGGAGCAGCTGCGTGCATGGTACTTAGAGTACTGCAGCCTCCGGAGAGGTACCGCTCGAGCCGGACGTACTACTGGGACTGGTGCTAGTGCTTCTTCTCCCGTTCGGGAGCTCCCCTCCCGCGAGCGGATCCGTGAGTGGTACGAGCGGCGCCGCACTCTTCGGAGTGGCGTGCCTCGTGTTACGGACCCCGCTGCTGTTGGAGCTGCTGCTGGTGCTGAGGACTCGGACGTTGGAGCTGCTGCTGGTGCTGAGGACCCGGGCGTTGGAGCTGCTGCTGGTGCTGAGGACCTGAGCGTTGGAGCCGCTGCTGGTGCTGAGGACCCGGGCGTTGGAGCTGCTGCTGGTGCTGAGGACCCAGGCGTTGGAGCTGCCGCTGGTGCTGCGGACCCGGGCGTTGGAGATGCTACTGGTGCTGAGGACCCGGGCGTTGGAGCCGCTGCTGGTGCTGAGGACCCGGGCGTTGGAGCTGGTGCTGGTGCTGAGGACCCTGGCGTTGGAGCTACCGCTGGTGCTGCGGACCCGGGCGTTGGAGCTGCTACTGGTGCTGAGGACCCGGGCGTTGGAGCCGCTGCTGGTGCTGAGGACCCGGGCGTTGGAGCTGCTGCTGGTGCTGAGGACCCAGGCGTTGGAGCTGCCGCTAGTGCTGTGGACCCGGGCGTTGGATCTGCTACTGGTGCTCAGGACCCGGGCGTTGGAGCTGCCACTGGTGCTGAGGACGTGGGCGCTGGAGCTGCTGTTTGTGCTTCGGACCCTGGTGCGGGTGTCCCTGCTGGCTCTGGTGTCGCTGCTCGGTCTCCGCCGTACTTTGTTACGCTCCTTCAGCAGGTTCTTGGTCAGCTTCCTCCTCCTTTTCCTCCTCCCTCCTTAGCGTGTCCTCCACCTGTCCAGCTGCAGTCGGCGTTACCGTCTGCCTCCTCTCTCCCTGGTCCTGCTCCTTACACTGGTCCGACTGGAGGTCTTACTGAGTGGCGTGAGCCTGCGTCTCGTCCTGCGTCGCCTGAGTCTCGTCCTGAGTCGCCTGTCCGCACTGCTCTCTCTAGTAGTCGAGTCCAGCGTCAGCGTCTTCCTGCTGTCCCAGGCACTCACCAGATGGCGCTTCGTCCGTCCACTGGTCCACAGCGTGTCCCACTGCCGTCTCCTCCTGCTTCCTCTCTTCCTGCTCTTGCTGACCCTGGGTCAGACTCTCTTCGTGCTACCAGTCCTACTGTCACGCGTCTCCCGGCTACTGTTGTCACTGACCCTTCCTTTGAGTCTGCTGCTGCGTATGCCTTAGTTGCTGAGCTTGTCGAATTTGCTGCTTGCTGTCGTCTAGACTACGCTGCTAGCCTAGTTGCTGAGTCTGAGTCTGTCTGTCCTCCGTCCGTCGGGGGTGAGTGTGCTCTTGGCACTGACGTCCTTGAGGACAGGCAGGAGGAGTTTGAGTGCTTTGCTGCCGCTTTGCCCCATCTCGTGTCCATGTTTGTTGCCCCTGAGGGAGACCCGGATGCACCAGACATCCCGACCCCACGCTCTTACGCAGAGGCGATGGCCGGTCCCTACTCCTCTCAGTGGTAGTCAGCCATGGACACAGAGATGGCTTCCTGGAAGTCCACAGGCACCTACGTTGACGAGGTTCCCCCACGTGGGGCGAACATCGTCAGTGGCATGTGGATTTTCAGGGTGAAGCGGCCGTCGGGCTCTCCGCCTGTCTTCAAGGCGCGTTACGTTGCACGAGGCTTCAGTCAGCGAGAGGGAGTCGACTTCTTCCAGACCTTCTCCCCGACCCCGAAGATGACCACTCTTCGGGTGCTGCTGCACGTTGCCGCTCAGCGTGACTACGAGCTCCACTCGCTTGACTTCAGCACTGCTTTCCTGCAGGGCAGCCTGCACGAGGAGATCTGGCTGCGCCGTCCACCTGGCTTCACTGGGTCGTTCCCTCCTGGTACCCAGTGGAGCCTCTGACGGCCAGTCTACGGTCTCCGCGAGGCGCCTCGTGAGTGGCACGACACACTGAGGACTACACTTGCGGCTCTTGGGTTCGCGCCTTCTACTGCTGACCCGTCGCTGTTTCTACGCACCGACACCTCACTGCCGCCGTTCTACGTCCTTGTGTACGTCGACGCCTTGGTCTTTGCTACTGCTAACACTGTGGCACTCGCCCACGTGAAGTCGGAGCTGCAGAAGAGTCACACGTGCACAGACCTGGGTGAACTGACAAGCTATCTTGGCTTGCGGATGAGCACGCCGCACCATCACCTTGACTCAGTCACACATGGTGCAGCAGGTCCTTAGCGCTTCCGCTTCACGTACTCCTCGCCTCAGCCCACTCCTCTGCCTACCGGTCACTCGCTCTCAGCTCAGCCTTCGGATGAGTCCGTAGAGTCAAGTGGCCCGTATCCAGAGCTTGTGGGCTGCCTCATGTACCTGATGACATGCACTCGACCAGACCTTGCATACCCTCTCAGCATTCTTGCACGCTATGTCGCTCCCGGCCGTCACCGGAAGGAGCACATGGATGCAGCTAAGAGGGTGTTGCGCTACTTGTGCAGTACGTCGGGCATGGGGCTAGTGCTTGGAGGGCGAGTCCCTGTTGTTCTCACTGGGCACTCAGACGCTTCTTGGGCAGACGACCAGGCTTCTCAGCGGTCGTCTCAGGGTTACTCCTTCAGTCTTGGCTCTGGTTCTGTTTCTTGGCGTTCTACTCGCTCTTCTTCTGTTCTCAGCTCCAGTTGTGAGGCTGAGATCTACGCCACAGCCATGGCGGCCCAGGAGCTACGCTGGCTCACCTACTTGCTGACCGACCTTGGAGAGCAGCCTCGTTCTCCTCCAGTGCTGTACGTCGACAACAAGGTAGCCATTGCCTTGTGTGAGGAGCACAGACTGGAGCACAGAACGAAGCACATTGCTCAGCGTTACTTCCTTGCTTGAGAGCTGCAGCAGCGTGGTCAGCTTCACCTGCGTTACGTGGCCTCTGAGGCCAACACTGCTGATGTGTTCACCAAGGCGCTTCAGCCTTGTGACCATCAGCGCTTTTGCACTCTTCTAGGCCTTGTGCCGACTGGACCTCACTTGCTTACTTCTTGAGTCTGTTTGTACTGTGATCTCTATATATATACCTGCATGTTTACTCTTGTTAGGTTGTGATCATTGTACCTTTTGCTCTATTATAAACGTGCATGTGAACTGGTCTTGTGACCACTTGCTTGTGCTCAGAATTTGTGTGGTATCCTTGAGATCCACCCTGAGCTTGTTTTGCCTTGCTTTGCCTTGACTGGTCTCGTGACCCCTAGTTCTACCCCACTTTGCCTATGGGGGTGTGTCAAGCATTATATGTGTTGTGTTAGTTTAGGCTACAGTGGGTTAGCCTATAGGGGGTACACAATTGTAGGGTTAGGTACTTGTACTCATTTCACTGCTAGTTCATTTCATTCCTGTTCAGTGATTCCAACACGGTCGTAAGTGCGGTCTTCAACTGCTCCATGGCTTGGTGATGCATACCCTCCCACTTGAACGGTGCATTCTTCTTCATTAGATTGGTGAGAGGTGTTGCAATCTTCACACACTATGGTACGAACCGATTGTAATAGTTCGCGCGGCTAAGAAATTGTTGAAGTATCTTCACGTTTTCCGGCGTCTTCCACGTACGTACGGCTTCGATCTTTTTTGGGTCAACATGATACTCCTTGAGCGCTCACCATGTGTCCAAGGAACTGAACTTTCTTCAAGGCAAACTCGCCCTTGGATAGCTTGACGTAGAACTTCTCCCGTCGAAGTATCTCGAAGACGCGTCGTAGGTGTTCGATGTGCTGCTTCATGTCCCTCGAGTAGATCAGGATGTCGTTCGGGTACACCACCACGCATTCGTTGAGTAGAGGCCTGAGAATGTGGTTCATTTCGGCCTGGAATGTAGCGGGTGCATTGGTGAGTCCGAACGGCATGACGAGGTACTCGTAGGATCCGTATCGTGTCCGAAACGCCGTCTTGTGGATGGAATAGTCCGCCATCTGAATCTGCCAGTATACTGATCTCAAATCAAGCTTGGAGAATATCGTAGCTCCTCGAAGCTGGTCAAGTAGATCTTCGGAAACGGATACTTGTTCTTGATCGTCTGCTTGTTGAGGGCATGGTAGTCGATGCACATGCGTGAACAGACGATGTGTGCACATGCTAGTCGGGGTTGAACTTCAACAGAAAATCTCTCCTTAGAGTCAAGTCTAGCCCTTTGATGTTGGTGACGGGTAGGGTTGGTTTCCAGCAAAGAGGACCCATCTGCAAATGTAACGCTGCTTCGCCGTAGACTTGTAACTTGCTTCCGTCAACCATCGTAGCTCTGAAGCTTGAAGGCGTGTACTCCTCATTGATGCGCTTAAGAGCTCCGTTGTTGCATAATGAATGGGATGCTCCGCTGTCCAAGGGTGCTTGGAGGTGTCGTCCATTGCACATCACCTCGAGCAAAAGTGGTTGGTGTTGATCGCTGTACCCGTTGATCCTCTCGCTGATTGGATCGTACGGCATATCTCATATCTTTATGTTATCTCTGTGAGAATTGAGGAATGAATGAACTAGCAAGGAGGTGGGTACAAGTAGGAAATCCTAGAAGTGTTGTACCCCATATTGTCTACCCCACTACAGCCAACACAGACTAAAGCATAGGATATAAGTTTGACACACCCCCATAGGCAAAGTGGGGGAGAACAAGAGGTCACAAGACCAGTCAAACAAAGCAAAGCAAGCTCAAGGTGGATCACAAAGTCACCACACACTCCGAGCACAAGAGCAAGGCCAAAAGGCCAGTTCACATGCAAGATCATATATAAAGGTAAACAAGCAAGTCCAAGTATAGAAAGATCACAGTACAAGCAAGGTCAAGAAGTGAGCAAGTGAGGCCAAGTAGGCATATGACCTAACATCGTACAGAAGCGCTAATGATCACAAGGCGGAAGTGCCTTGGTGAAGATATCAGCAGTGTTGGCCTCAGAGGCCACGTAAGCAAGGCACAGCTGACCACGCTGCTGCAACTCACGAGCAAGGAAGTAGCGAAGAGCAATGTGCTTCGTTCTGTGCTCCAGTCTGTGCTCCGATAAAAGGCCAGCATGGCCTTGTTGTCTACGTACAGAACTGGAGGAGAACGAGGCGGCTCTCCTAGGTCAGTCAACAGGTAGATGAGCCAGTGTAGCTCCTGTGCAACCATGCCCCCGCGTAGATCTCAGCCTCACAGCTGGAGCTGAGAACAGAAGACGAGCAGGTAGACCGCCACGAAACAGAGCCGGAGCCAAGGCTGAAGGTGTAACCCTGTGACGATCGCTGCAGAGCCTGGTCGTCAGCCCAAGAAGCGTCAGCGTGACCTGTGAGGACCACTCGACGTCGCCCTCCAAGCACTAGCCCCATGCCCGACGTACTGCACAAGTAGCGCAACACCCTCTTCGTTGCAGCCATGTGCTCTGGTCGATGTATCCGAGGAGCAACATAGCGTGCCAAGATGCTAAGAGGGTATGCAAGGTCAGGTCGAGTGCAGGTCATCAGGTACATGAGGCAGCCAACAAGATCTGGGTACAAGCCACTCGGCTCTACGGACTCATCCGAAGACAGATCTGAGAGCGAGTGGCAAGTAGATAGAGGAGTGGCTTGAGGCGAGGAGTACGTGAAGTTGAAGCGCTGAAGGACCTGCTACACCATGTGTGACTGAGTCACGGTAATAGTGCGCTGTGCTCTGTCCCGGGTGATCTGCAAGCCAAGGTAGCTACGCAGTTCACCCAGGTCTGTGCACGTGTGTCTCTTCTGCAGCTCGAACTTCACGTCCGCGAGTCCAGTAGTGTCAGCACTGGCAAAGACCAAGTCGTCGATGTACACGAGGATGTAGAACGGCGGCAAAGAGGTGTCGGTGCGCAAAAAACAGCGACGGGTTGGCTGTAGAAGGAGCAAACCCAAGAGCCGCAAGTGTAGTCCTCAGTGTATCGATCCACTCACGGGGCGCCTGGCAGAGACCGTAGACTGGCCGCCGGAGGCTCCACTGGATGCCTGAAGGAAACGACCCATTGAAGCCAGGTGTGCGGCGCAGCCAAAGCTCCTCGTGCAAGCTGCCCTGTAGGAAAGCTGTACTGAAGTCAAGAGAGTGAAGCTCGTAGTCGCGCTGAGCGGCTATGTGCAGCAGCACCCCAAGAGTGGTCATCTTCGGGGTGGGAGAGAAGGTCTGAATGTAGTCAACTCCCTGCCGCTGATTGAAGCCTCGAGCCACGTAACGCGCCTTGAAGACAAGCGGAGAACCCGGCGGCCGCTTCACCCTGAAAATCCACATGCCACTGACGATGTTCGCCCCAGGTGGGGGAACCTCGTCGACGTAGGTGCCTGTGGACTTCCAGGAAGCCATCTCCGCATCCTTGGCTGACTGCCACTGAGAGGAGTAGGGACCCTCTATCGCCTCAGCATACGATCGAGGAGTCGGGATGTCTGGTGCATCCGGGTCTCCCTCAGGGGCAATCAGCGTGGACATGAGATGAGGCAAAGTAGCAGCAAAACACTAGAACTCCTCCTGCCTGTCCTCAAGGATGTCCGTGCTAAGAGCACACTCACCCCCGACACACGGAGGACATACAGACTCAAAATCAGCAACAAGGCTAGCGACGTAGTCTAGACGACAGCGAGCCGCAAAATCGACAAGCTCAGCAACCAAGGCAGACGCAGAAGTGGACTCAAAGGAAGGGTCAGTGACCACAGTGGCTAGGAGACGCGTGACAGTAGGAATGGCAGCACGAAGAGATTCAGACTCAGGGTCAGCAAGAACAAGAAGAGAGGACTCTAGAGGAGACGGCAACGGGACACGCAGAGGAGCAGTGGAAGGACGCAGTGCCATCTGGTGTGTGCCTGGGACCGCAGGAGGTTGCTGACGCGGAACACGACGACTAGTGCGAGCAGCACGAACAGGCGATGCAGGACGAGACGCAGGCTCATGACGCTCAGCAAGA